CAGCCCATCCCAGTGGATTTAGGCAGGCCTGGGCCCCGAGCAGGCTCAGCTGGGCTGGGGGCTGAGATCTGCAGGTTCTGCARGCCCGGGGTGCCCTGTGGGGGTGGAATCTTTGCAGAAATCACAGAAGCTTTCCCCCAGTGCTCATCCCAGCCCAGCCCATCCCTGCACTGAGCTGGGCTCTATTTTTAATCTGCTTTCAGCTGCACATGTGACTGCTCTGGTGGCTGGGGAAGGTGCACATCAATGTGTGCTCCAGGGCCACAAACTGCTGCTCTGTGGCCACCAGAAAACACTCCAAAGGTACAAGCAGCGTGCTTTGAAGCAGAAAAGATTGATTTTTTGAAAAATTATAATTTTTATTTTCTCTGCTTGTTATAATTCCCATTGTTGGGGTGGTTTATCTTCTTATAAAGGAATTTATTTTCATTTTTGATCTTGACTCAGTGTAATGAGCCCAGCCTGTTGTTCCTGGGGGGTTGAACCATCCATTCACATGAATTTTTATGGAAGATTCCATTTTCCTCTAAATAATCCCTCCCCTTTTTATTGAGAATTCATTAGAGAGGATTTTAAAGACCAAACTAAAACTGCAAATGAAATTCAATGAAAACCACAAAGATTAAAAAAAAACCAGAGATTAAGATTTCATTTGGGTTCATATTTCTGTTTTATGGCTGTTTTATTGATCTACTTAAAATCCTGCTCAAAAAAATAACCTCAGAATGTGTTCACACATTAAAAGTGTCACATTTGTGGTAGCTCAGCCTGGATAGGCCGCAAAGAAAAGAGAATAATTAATTAGTAAATTCATGTAATTATCAATATATAATTTATACTCGTTAATAGTATTATTAATATTGTTAATAATAATTAAAATAAATAAAATAAAATAAATAAAATAGAATAAATAAAATATAATAAATACAATAAATTAAATAAATAAAATAATATTTGGTGTTTATTTATTGTTAATCCTGGCCAAAATACTGCTAAAATCACATTTGTCACTGGCAGGGATAACCGAGCTGTTCCTTTTTTACCACATGTCAGGAGGAGACCATAAAAGATTCCTCAGGGCAGGAAGATGAGACCCAATCATCCAACGATGACCCAGCCCCATCTGTTGCTTCCCAAGATCCCCAGGAGATCATTCGCCCTCGGCGATGTAAATATTTTGATACAAGTAAGTGTAATTTCATTCTCAGCCCAGAAATCCCCATTTCWCTGACCTCTGCTCAGCACAGCCACAGTTAACTCAGTGTTCTGGGCCAGAAATGCATTTTGACACCTAAAATCTGCTTTTTTTCTTCATTCCACTGCTCTTGAGGAGAATTATGCAGGAAACAAAAAGCAGGAGAGTCCTGGTTTTAGCTGAGTGCTAAACCCACTCTGCTGACTTTTTATTAGGGCAGGAGATAATCTCTGTTTAAAGGATGAAATTTGGGGGAAATTGAAATTTTACAGATTAAAATTCATTGATGTGATCTGGGTATTGTGGTAAGGCCTGGGCTCTGTCCTCATCCAGAGGAGCTCAGAGTTCACCTGAAAGGAAAAATCARCTGAAATTTCCTGCAAATAAAGCCCAGATTTCCTCAAGATCACTGGAATAGAGGAGCAATCAATCAAATCTGCAAAAGGCCAAGAATGGTAACCCTGAAATAGTGAAGAGGGGGATCACAATGAGGAAAATTTCCTTTAGGAATTYCATTTGATTCTGTTACCAGCATTAAACTGATGATTTTCTCTCTTAATTAAACTAATTTTGAATCCACTTGAAACTGTTGGAGCTGTCCCTTCAGACAGCTCTGATTTCCATGGAATCTCCCCTGGTGGGGTCTGAACCTTTTGGGACAGCAGATATTTTACTTTTTTTGAATAAAAACAGCTGCTTGAATTTCTTCTGTTCTGTGTTTGACCAAACAAAAGGTTCCTTGCTCTACCTTACACTCAATATTTATTAGTTAGGACTTTGTAGAAATGTAATTTTTAATCTGTGTTTTGTTTAAATCCAAAATTGCCAAGGAACCACAGCTTTTCAGAGGTTTGCAAATATATTTATAAATAAATAAATTTATAAAATACATAAAAATAAAATATACAAAAAATAGATAAAAATATAATTTATAAATGAATTGTTTTGAAATACAGAATTACCTTAATTCACGTGTATTGCGTTAGGTTTGGGGTTTTTTACAGCTTTCAGCTGTGTAAAAAATGTAATTTAATGTTTAAATCATTTGAATGCTGCTAAATCCCATCCTATACATAAAGCAGCACCTTGTGAAAAGCAACTGGACTAAAACATAAAGAGCTTAACGTTGCTGGCAATCCTTATCCCAAATAATCTGTTGGAGTGCTGCTGGGACTCTGTGCATCCCAGCAAAGACACATTTCAGACTGCTCACACCTCCTGCTGAGATCTGCCTCACATTCTGCAAAAGAGCAGCAGGAACTAAACCAGGAGCTCATGGAAAWGGGGTTGAAAGGCACAAAAATATTTCCACAAAAGTGGGAATTCACCCATGGATCGCTCAAAACTGGGCGAGGGAAATGGGAATTTAATAACAAAATTCAGGGATGTGTTTRTTTGTGCCTGAATTTCTCAGAGCCTGGCGTGTATCTSGATCCAGATATGAACWTTGGGTGGGTCTGTTTTTAATCTTRGGATTACTGAACCCCAAAAGTGTCCCTGGCACTGGTGGGGCTGAGATAAGGAGGGCTGGAGGCTGTGGGGATCAGAGCCTCTGCCAGCTCAGCTCTTTTTGGCTTCAATGTCTGCAACATTTCTTGTAGATAGTGAAATAGAGGAGGAATCTGAAGAAGATGAAGATTATATTCCCTCAGAAGACTGGAAAAAGGTAAATGCTAAACCCATATTTCATGAATAATAAATGAATCTGTTCCTGGGTAACTCTGAGCTCTGCAGAGCACCCAAATCCTCTCCAGTTTTTCCCCATAAATTGGAGACTTTTGATAATGAGAAGTCTTAAAATCCTCCCCAAACAGTCAAAAATCCATTTCCATGGAGGAATTTTAGATTTTGAACCTMTTAAATGTATTTTTAGATTTCAAACAACGAAAGTTTTAAGGGGAGAAGGAGGAAAAAAAATGTGTTCCTGTGTTGCTTCACTTCTTCTTTGTGTTCTTCCCAACCAGGAAATCATGGTGGGCTCTATGTTTCAAGCTGAAATCCCAGCTGGCACCTGCAAATACAAAGAGAATGAAAAAGGTGAGATTTCACCATTATTGSTGTTTGGGATTAATGTCTAATTTGGAGAAAGAAAAGATTTGATTGCTCTCATGGACCTTGCAAAATAAATGAGCGAAAATTAGAGACACCATCTCAAATTGTACTTCATCAGAGCTTGAAGAAAGGGAAATTTGGATTTTTTTTTTGCTGATCTAGTGCCTCTTCAATCCTTGAATTCTGATTTAGTGATTCTTTAACCTCTTCTCTTACATATTTGTGTAAAAAAAGAAAAAGCTGATGGAGAAATTGTGTTGCTGGAACTGGATTATGACATTACAAGAGGCAAAATGGTGCCAGCAGTTTTGGTTTTCCCATTTTGTACCTCTACAATCAGAATAAAAAGTTCTGGTTTTGTGGATTTTYTTCCCTCAGGAACTTTTCCCTTTGTTCCAAGCAGAGGAAATTCTGTCAGGAAAGGCAGATGTAAACCCAGTGTGAGCATAAAATACATAAAATAATCCAATTTTCCTGCTCACCTAGCCCATTCCTAAGAATTTGCTCGCACTGCAGGTCAATTTGGAATGGATTTTTTTGTAGTTTTGTACAATTCAGCTTTTAAATAACCAGCACAAAACCTGAAACCTTCCCAGAATCCAAGTTTATACTCAATTATCTCTGGRGATTSCCCATCCCTGGAAGTGTCCAAGGCCAGGCTGGATGGGGCCTSAATTGCACTTTATTTTGCTACWCTAAGAATTTAATCCAAAATGAAACTGGGAAATAATTCAGAGGACATCTCACATGGCCTTTTCCATTATTTTMAATTCCCTTAATTTCAGTTCCCTTAATTTCATTGCCATTAATTTCAGTTCCATTAATTYCAGTGCCATGAATTTCACATGTTTACTGTGAATTTTCACAGTTTACTGTGGCTTCCCTGCTCTCAAASTCCTGTGAAAGCTCTGGAAAAGGAGGAGATTTAAATTCTGAAATTACAGAATGGATGCTGTGATCCATTGTGGCAGGGATTTGAAGGCAAAGGATGAAATTCAAGTGATTTGGATCTCTGCMTCCACCAGATTTTACCATTCTGGATTAGCAGTGCTCTCCCAAGGTTTATCAGACACAAGAAATGCCTTTATCTTTATTTTATTTCTCTTTCTGGGGTTTGTCCAGTGTATGAAAACGATGACCAGCTGCTCTGGAATCCAGATTTTTTACCAGAGGATAAAGTGATAGAATTCCTGAACGAAGCCTCGAGGCGCACGGGAGAGGAGAAAGGCCTGGATGCAATTCCTGAGGGATCCCATATTAAAGACAATGAGCAGGTAGAGAAAAATAACCACAATTTATCATTTAATTAAATAATTTTATTATAAAATTAATCATCCCTTTTTTATTTCACTCCCTAGAGTTAAAGTGGTGTTTGAGGTGGTTTTATTGTTCCTTGTGGAAATAGAAACTCGTTGGGCTTTTACCTCTCAGTGAATATTAAACTGTTAGTTTGGGTTTAATGTTGCTTTATATAAAATAAATATGTAAGAGAAAATAAATATATAATAGGAAATCAATCTGTAATGGAAAATAAATATGTAATATAAAATAAATAATGTAAGAGAAAATAAATATGTGATAGGAAATAAATAATAGAAAGTAAATATATAATAGAAAATAAATATGTGATAGAAAATCAACAATAGAAAGTGAATATATAATATAAAATAAATGTGTGATAGAAAATAAATAATAGAAAGTAAATATATAATAGAAAATACGGGACAGAAAATAAATACATAATAGAAAATAAATATAGAAATAAAATCAAGGGTTTATTTTCTACATAAATCTGTATGAATTCATTCTCTCTGGTACAGGATTTTTCAATTATTAAATTCTTTATGAATGCATTTTTATCTTTATGAATGCACACTTACTTCTTTTTTATGCCCAAAAAAACCCCCACATCAATTTTAGAAATGTGCGTGGTAAATGAAAACATTGCAATGCTTTGCTTGGATATTTTCTTGATTATGTAAATAGAAATTTGGGAATTTAAACAYTGCAAATACATCGTTGTGCTGATTTAAATTGCACTGCATTCATTCCAAAGGTTTATTTTTTAATCTTAATAGGTACCAATGATTTCTGAGTGTGCTGCTGTGGCACAGCATAACTGGGGTGTTCAGTGTGGGTATTTTCCTCTGGTGTGGAGTGTTCATTGTGGGTATTTTCCTCTCTGCAGGCGTTGTATGAACTGGTGAAGTGCAATTTCGATATTGAGGAATCCTTACGAAGGCTCAGATTTAATGTCAAAGCAGCCAGAGGTGAGCATGAACTGAAAAGGAGTTGATATTCTGAAATTTTCCTTTTATTTCCCACCCAGGCATTGGGCTTTGCTGTCCACAGGCTGAGAAATTTGATTTAATTTAATTTAAACACAGCCTCAGTGAATATCTCATTGTTCTCTGGGAGAATGGAATTAGCAGATGTGTAAATTCATTTCCTGTCCTGAGCTTGGTATAAATATCTGTGACTTCAGCAGGCACTTAAAATATAAAATTRCCTCTTAACGACTGAACTGTGCATTTTTAGGCATTTTTATTGTGCTCTTCCAGACCTTTCAGTCATCAAAATGAATGCAATAAACACGACACATAAAATGAAATAATTCAAAATAAAGGAGCAAATCAACCTTTGATTTTTCAAAGTATAACATTGAAAACTCTGATTTTAAAGGTGCTGTCAGAGTGTTTCTTGTGSTTTTATTGATCCCTGCACTCAAAGCAACAACAAATTCAGGGAAGGCAGGAATTGTTTTCCCACCCATCGATCTGTTGGTGCTGCTCCCAAAGTTCCCTGAGCACATCACAAGGCAGCAATGATCAAAYAATGGAGATTTCTTTGTTCTCCCCSTGTTTGAAACTTTATTTACTTGGTGACCTTAACAATCAGTGAGGCCAAATCAGAATAGGTTCAGAGCAGGCCCTACAAACCAGCTCCTCCCTAAAAGTCAGAATTCCCATTTTTATACTAAAAAGTGAAATTCCTGGAGYTGCTTCCTGTGGACCTGCTCATCCCAGATGTTTTTTCTCACTTCAGTTGCCTTTTATAATTTTTTTTAATTAACTATTTTCTTTGCTTTTTTGCTTTGATGTTCCTGTAGAAGAATTATCAGTTTGGACAGAAGAGGAATGCAGGAACTTTGAACAAGGGCTGAAAGTCTATGGCAAGGATTTCCATGTGATTCAGGCCAACAAGGTAAACTCCAAGTCCAATTCTCACTTTTTATATTTTAAAACAACATTAATTGTAAATTAATTTTGTCTTTCATTTCCTTCATAAAGAAATGGACAAAATWATTTTWTTTTTTGCTGTAGAATCAYAGAATCCCAGAATAGTTTGGGGTGSGAKGGAGCTTWAAAATTCCATTTTAAGGGCAGCTTCCACTGTCCCAGGGTGCTCCAAGCCCCATCCACCCTCCCAGGRAACAATTCTTTCCCCAWATCTAACCTGAATTTCYAGGAGCTTCTCTGGGCACCCTGTGCCAGGGAGGAATTTCWTCCCAATATTTACATCCAAATTGGTTCTGAAAGCCCAGAATTTGTAACTGTGGAAGTGCAGAAATCCTGTGGGAAGAGCTGCYTCCCTGGAGGCTGAAAAGACTGGACAGACTTGGAATATTCTGCTGGAGCTGTTCCTTCCATAATATCTCTGATATTTTTACAAACACCCTTAACTCACATCTCCATTTGAAAATTTCAACCCMAAGGTTTCCACTATTCCAAGCAGCTTTGGCTTGGAATTTCATATTTTTTTGCTATAAATGTTGATTTTTTTTGGCCAAAAATGACTTTTAATTGAGTGAGAGTTGCTTGGCCCCTGTTGCAGGTGCGGACCCGCTCCGTGGGGGAATGTGTGGCATTTTATTACATGTGGAAAAAGTCRGAACGTTACGATTTCTTCGCTCAGCAGACCCGTTTTGGGAAGAAAAAATACAACCTGCACCCTGGGGTCACGTAAGATGTGCCTGATTTCATCATTTTATTCTCATGCTGGGGGTAAATGTTTCTTTTATCCTGCTCTGAGCTGAAAATTGAGAGATTCRTAGATGGATTTGCTACAGGAAAACAGCCAAAGTGTAAAAAAAAATGTCATTAGTGTGTAAAAATAATCTGTAAAATACATTTCTCTGGAAAAAGGCCAACACTTGGCATTGAGCAGCTATTTCAGTTGGAGTTTAGGTAGAATTTAAGTTGTTTTCTTTTTAAATGTAAATAGGTTTTTCTTTTTAAATGCTTGTTTTAATTAAATAYATTTTATACCAAAGCACGAATCACAAGTTTCAGGTGGAATTTATGGTGCATTATTTGTCAATCATTCTRGCCAGCACAACACCAAATCCCAGAGGGATTTTGGGGTATCCAGAGCTCCTTTTCCCATTCCCATCTTCACTGAGAAAAGAGGGAATGTGTGAGCAGAGCTGCATTCCCAGCTCAGAGCCAGCCTGTTCTTCTGCCCTTCATTCCAAAGCTCTGATCTGACTGTCCCACTCTTTCCATGGCTCTTGCCAAACATTTTACTACGATTTTCATTCCTCATTTGTTCCTGGCTTCTCGGATGATCCTTCTTTGGAATATTATTGTTTCTTCCAATATTTCAGGGCTGTGTGACACCCAGAGGTGCCATCTGGGACTTTGGGGATGTTACAGAGTTTCTTACCTGCCTGGCAGGGACTCTGGTTTCCCCTTTCCTTCCCCCTATTTTTCATTTTCCTATTTTCCATTTTCCTATTTTCCCCCCTATTTTCCATTTTTCCCCCRAATTAACCATTTTTGGTGGTTAATCACTCCAAACTCTCTGCAGTTGCCTGTGCAGGGGGAGCAGCAGCAGTGTCAGGAAGGACTGGACTTGTCTGTTCTTGAATGATTTTGCAGATAAATTGAGGGAATTCAGGGTGCAATTCCAGCACAATTACGTGTGAGGAGTTGCTGTTCCTGGAGTGRTTCCAGCACCCACCAGCTCCCTGTGTTCCCATTGCTGCCCTAACCAGCAGGAATAAATGGCAGAGATGGAAATATCTTCAACTCTGCAGTTTCTCACTTGGTTTTAATTTTTTACCACTTTTGGTTATTTTTTTTTGTGCACAAATGTGATTTATATTTACTGGAATGGTTTGTTATTGCTGGCTCAGCACATTCCATGAGTTTGGAGCCTGAAGGGATCACCCTGGCAGCACAACATAAAGGATTTGGAATCGTGGAATTGTGGAATGGATTGGGTTGGGAGGGAGCTTAAATCCCACCCAGTGCCACCCGTGCCATGGCAGGGACATCTTCACTATCCCTGGGTGCTCCAGCCTGGCCTTGGGCACTGCCAGGGATCCAGGGGCACCACAGCAAATCTGGGAAATCCATCCCAGGGAACAATTCCTTCCCAATATCCCATCCATCCCTGCCTTCCTGCACTGGGAAGCCTTTCCCCCATAAAATGCCACCCCTGCAGTGTGTGCAGAGAGAATTCCCACTCCAGGAACACCAAGATTTCCCAGTGAGGTCTGAGTGCTGTGTGTGTCGTGCAGGGATTACATGGATCGGCTCCTGGATGAAAGTGAAAGTGCTGCTTCCAGCAGAGCTCCATCCCCTCCTCCCACCACCTCCAACAGCAGCACCAGCCAGTCCGAGAGGGAGGACAGCACCACCAGCAGCAGCAACCAGAACGGTGAGAGAGCCCTCGTGGGCTCACAATTCCAGCCTGGATGGGATGGGAGGGACCTCAGAGCTCACCCAGGGACACCCCAGGGACACCTCCCACCATCCCAGGGTGCTCCAACCCGGCCTTGGGATCCAGGGACACCACAGCTGCTCTGGGAATTCCATCCCAGCCCATCCCCACCATCCCAGGGAACAATYCCTGCCCAATATCCCAAAACTTCTTTGGGGAAAACCAGGAAGGGATGGATCTGTGGGGAATGGGGCTGGAATTCCAGGAAATCCAGGAGTTCAAGTGGCTGGGATGGAACTGGGAGCACTGGGACAGCCCTGGGGACATCCCAAAACACAGGGGGCCATGCAGGACTCTGATAATGGGAAAATTGAAGGAGAGGGGTTTGGAAAGTCCCAAAAAAATGTTGGGAAAAATGGGGACAGTGGGAGAGCAACCCCGGAATTGTTTGACCCCGAATCCCTGGAATTTGTGGGATCCCAAAACTTCTTTGGGGAAAACCAGGAAGGGACTGATCTGTGGGGAATGGGGCCAGAATTCTGGGAAATCCAGAAGTTCGAGTGACTGGGACCGGCTCTGGGATGGAACTGGGAGCACTGGGACAGCCCTGGGGACATCCCAAAACATGGGGGCCATGCAGGGCTCTGATAACGGGAAAATAATGGGGGAAATTGAGAGAGAGGGGTTTGGAAAGTCCCAAAAAAAAGTTGGGAAAAATGGGGAAAGTGGGAGAGCAACCCAGGGATTGTTTGACTGCGAATCCCTGGAACTTGTGGGATCCCAAAACTTCTTTGGGGAAAACCAGGAAGGGACTGATCCGTGGGGAATGGGGCTGGAATTCCGGGAAATTTCAGGAATTTGGGTGGCTGGGACTGGCTCTAGGATGGAACTGGGAGCATTGGGACAGCCCTGGGGATATCCCAAAATACCAGGAGCCACGTGGGGCTCTGATAATRGGAAAGTTGAAGGAGAGGGGTTTGGAAAGTCCCAAGAAAATGTTGGGAAAAATGGGGAAAGTGGAAGAGCAACCCCAGGGTTGTTTGACCCCAAATCTCTGGAATTTATGGGATCCCAAAACTTCTTTGGGGAAAACCAGGAAAGATGGCTCTGTGGGGAATGGGGCTGGGATTCTGGGAAATTTTGGAAGTTTGGGTGGCTGGGACCGGCTCTGGGGATATCCCAAAACATCCATCCCTGCCCTCTGGCAGTGTGACCCCATTCCCTGTGTCCTGTCCCTCCATCCCTTGTCCCCAGTCCCTCTCCAGCTCTCCTGGAGCCCCTTTAGGCCCCAAAAGGATTTTTCAGTATTTCCCCAGCTTCAAGTTAAAACTGGTTTTTATAAAAACCCTGCATTTGGGGCTGTGTCTGGATGATAAATCCCCCCTGGGATTTCCTGGTAGCTGTGATTTGTGTGTTCTTGTCTGCCCTGTGCCAGGGGAATGCCAGTGCTGGGAGGAGCTCTGAGCAGGACATTGCACCCCTGAGATGGGAGCTGAGCTCTGGGAGAGTTCCTGCTGCTCCTTGGGGATCCAGGGGCTTTTTCCCCAAATCCTGRGGCTTGGAAGGGAGTTGGGAATGGGAGAGGAACCAGGGCTGACTGCCCATGGAGGAGGAGCTTGGGGACTCACCTGAGTGTGGAAATCACGCAGGAACCACAAAAAGCAGGGTGAGGAGAGTCCACCCTCAGCTCTGGAGTTCCAGAAATCACCAGGGAACCACACAGAGCAGGGTGAGGAGAGCCCACCCTCAGCTCTGGAGTTCCAGAAATCATGCAGGAACCACAAAAAAGCAGCTCTGGAGTTCCAGAAATCACCAGGGAACCACACAGAGCAGAGTGAGGAAAGCCCACCTGCAGCCCTGGGGTTCCAGAACATTCTCTGCTCCTTTTAAAGCCTTCCCTAAACTCCCCATGCCATTTTTACTCACACCAATCGCTGCTCACTCGGTGAGGATAAGGAGAAAAATCGTGGATTTTGAATTCCTCAGAGTTCAAATTGTTCCTCCCTGCCCTGGGTTTTTCTGTGCTGCTCCTGTGCTTTGCTGATGGCWTTTTCTCCACCCTCAGGTGTCTCTGCCAACGGCCCAGGGGATGTTCCAGGAAAAGAGGAGACAAAACTCGAGGGATTGCACGTCAACGGACCTTCCAGCGGGAAAAAAACACCCCACACGGAGCTGGATACAAATGGGTATGAACCTGAAAACCTTTCCATTGACCCCAAAGTCACTCATTCAGCTTCAAGGAACGAGCCTGAGCTGGAAGAAAAGAGTGAGAGACCTCTGAAAAGAAGAAGAATTAACAGCAATGGGAAGGAGAGCCCGGGAGCTTCGGAGTTCTTCCAGGAAGCAAATTCCCATGGGAAGCTGGAGGAACTGGAAACTTTGGATGACTGAGTGCTGGGAGCTGATTTTATTCCTTGGAGTAAATTTTGGGTGTCTAAAATTTTCAGGGTTGATGGGTTACCTTACAAAATCCAGTTCCAAAAACAAGCTGAGATTTTTTTTTTTTTTTTTGTTTCCTGAGACGTTCTGGTTGGCTCCAAAGATGTGATGATTTGGTGGTTTTTAGTGCTGGAAAGCAGCGGGAGAATATTGAATTTCTCAGAGTCGGCAGCTGCAGTTCTGGGATAAAAAGCTCTTTAAATATTTGAGGAACAAAGCAGTGAGTTGCTGCAAAAATACTCCCAGCCTAATACATTAAAGAATGTGTTAATACAGCATTTAATGTAGAATACAGCATTTAATCAGTGTGCAAAGTGAACAAAGCATTTGGGGCTTTGCAAGAAATGCAAGTAAAACAGGGAAAGCCAAGGCAGAGCAGGCACAGAGACTCCCACTCCTGCTGGAGAGAGGAAAATGTCATCCCATCCTTAAGGAACCCTCATGAATCCTGAAAGTTATGAGCACAACTATTTTTATATATAGAAGTTTTAAAAGGTAAATAAATAAACCAGGTCAGGTTTGTCTATGTAAAATTGTTGACATCAATGATGTCTTTCCATATTCTTTATCTGGGCTAAAGAAATACATTCTGTATTTTTCCAGATTTCTTTGTAGCCTTTGAAAGATTTTTACAGTACTTATGTCTTGATTGAACTGTCCTTTCTTAAAACAAAAGCTTGTATAATTTTCTTACCTTGTACAGTTGGTAAACTTTTATGAGAGAGTTGATACCCTGAGTCTAATGTCAGCTTCCTTTTATTTTGCTGAAGTCTTTTCTAAAAAAAAAAAACCCGACAAAAAAACCCCCAGACCAAACCGATGGAGTTAAAAATTAATCAGCAACATGTTAATTTTCTTCCCAGAAACTGGTAAATAATTAACATAAGAATGGTTAGGAGGCATTTGATTTTGGCAACGTGGGGTTTTTTTCTTGGTTTATGGTAAATAATGATGTTTAAATTTTTGTTAAGCATGCTGCTTGCATTGCACACATCTCCTTGCTTTCTTTCTCCCTTTCCTCCCTTGCATTTGGAACTCGGGAGAAATTTCCCAGCAGCCAAATTCTCGAGTTTACTGAACCTTCCTCAAGTTGAGCTGTTCAATTATTTTCAGTCTGTCACCTGCCACGTTTCAGGGAGCACAGCAAGGGCTGGAGTGGAGCTGGACTGGTTGGAAATGCAGCTGCAAACTGGTGCTGGACTGGAATTCCTGAGGAGCACAGGGATGGTTCCAGTGGGAGCAGCACACACAGGTCAGAGGTTGGACTTGATGATCTCAAAGGTCWTTCCCAACCTGGTAAATCCTGGGATTCTCTGGTGGTGCATGGAGACACACTCACCTGGACAAGGGAGAGTAGGAATTTCACATTAAGCTATAAAGAATTAATTTCAGGGTGAAAACCAAAAATTCCTTATTTCTAAGGGTGGAGGGGGTGATGCTCACCCTGCCAGCAGCACCACTGAAAAGTTGGGGATGTTGGATTCACATCCATCAATCGGGAACGTTTTTAATCCAAATTTCATTTTGGTTTTGTTTGGTTGGTTTTTAAAGCCCAGCTCCACTTCTTCTCTGTTAAAATTTGGGAAAATTGTTGATGTGGATCATTGATAACCTGGTGTCCTCCTCCTTATAGGTGTGCTGTTAATCGGTTATTTTATCTTAAACTTTATGGTTTGTACGGTTCCAGTAGAAATGAATGGTTTGAAATGGATGTTTCAGCCCAAACCAGAATCCAATTTATCCTATTTATCCTATTTTCGGTTTCATTTTGATGCTCTTTGGTTTYGGTTGCAAGCTGGAATTACTTCCCAGAAATCCATAGGAAAGTTTCCAAGTGAATTGTCTCAGGCTCGTGGCTGAAATCCAGCACTGTGTATATTTTCAAGACTGTTGCTTTGTTTTTTCTTTCCTTTTTGGTTTTATTTTTTTTTTTTGTGATATGTAGAAAAGACCTGACATTCCATAACCCACTATGTAATGCTCAGCTAGACTTTAAGAATATTTAATTTGAATTTACCTTTTGTTTATGCTGGTGTTTTATACAATACTTTGTTCATGGTTCAGACTGCAGCCACTATAACTCRATAAGTCATTGCACTACTAAAGCTATTTAAAATCCTGGAAATCTGCTAACTTTGCTTTCCTTTTCCAARCCTTCAGTACACGTTGGAATCCAATCCAACTGAAGAAATCCTTGGGCTTCCCAAAGGGTTCAATGTGATATAAAATATCCTCCACACACAAACCCTCCAGATTAGTTTGATACATTTGTTCCACTCGGTATTTTGCACTGTTAGTAATCCCCTCCTCTTATCCCCCTTCCCTGTCTGCAATTCTGGAAAAGCTTATTAAAATATTTTTAAACTTATTGTCTGCATCAAAAATTCCTGAGTAAGTTTTTTTGCTGCAAAGGGGTGCAATATTTCTGCTTAGAGGATGAGAAGTCCCAGCCTGTGCAGTGAAAATTCATGAAAACATTTCATTTTCTGGATCAACTTCCAACTGTTTCCTTCACTCCCCAGAAATGTTTTCCACATCCCTTTTTCCATCCCAAGGATTATTCAAAGCTGGAAGCCCAGGAACCCACCCCACTCTGTTTCCTCAGAGTCCTACTGGGATTGGGGGCTCTGAGATCCCCAAAATCCCTGATTTTTTCCCCTCCAGCATTCCCACCCTCTCCAGCCTTTTCCTGCTGCTCAGGGAACAGAGGGATGAGGCAGAAGCAACTTTGGTTCATTGGTTTATTCGAAGCAAATACAAAAATACAGAGGCACATCAATGCTTTCTGCTCCCATTCCTCACATCCAAMGCCTGCCACACATTCAGCTTTTCATCACTAAAATGCTCATTTTGTAAATAGATTCTCTATAGAAAACATTTTTTTTTAGTCAATTAATAGCATAGAAAATACTGTTAGAGGAATTCTTGGCTTTTCCAGTGTTTAGGACCCGGCAGGATCCCAGCACGGACAAAATAAGCTTTAAAAAAGACTTCCCTGTTAGGAGTCCAAATCTAACCAGTAGATTAAAAAATAAACATAAAATCATTTAAAAAAAAACCTCCTCTGACAGAATCAACCTCCTGACTGTGAGCTCAGCGCGGCGGAGTCGGAGCACACTTGGGAAAAGGGGAATTTGGGATTTGGGATTTGGGATTGGGGATTTGGGAATGCTGCAGTGAGAGAGGCAGGAGAGGAGTGGGAATGTCCCAGCAGCACCAGGATACTGGAACCAGCACAGGAACCAGCACAGGGACTGGGGGCTTTGCACAGCAAGAAGGGTTTGTCACCCTCCCTCCAAAGCCAAGCTTTTCCTGGAATTTCAGCACACAAAATAATCAGGGATTTCTTTTTTACCTCCTATGGGGCTGCTCTGGAACACCCCAACTCATCCTTGACCACAAAATCCYACAAAAAAMWGKGAAAACTGTGGCTCTGGAGTTGCTGCAGGAGCTCCATACCAGGCTGGGGCAGCACCCTCACAGAAAAATCTCTTTTCCATCCAAAAACTTCCAATAAACTCCAATAAATGCAGTTTGTTCCAGTTTGAGCAAGTATTTCCCAAAAAAAAATGAAAGTCAATGTTTAGAGAAGCTGTTTGGGTACAAAAATCTCTAAATATATCATTTTACCAAAAGTTTTAACCAAACTTTAAAAAGAATTTTTTTCGAAGCAAAAAAAGGGATCAAGTGAGCACAAAGACAGCTCAAAGAGACCTGAAAAGAAGTGCAGGGTACAACAACCTTTAAAAAATCAGCAAATTCTGCCCAGTCTATTCAAATTCCCATTCTTTTAGTGGGTCATAAACCCAGGGAGACTCATTCCATGGAAAATAAGAATTATGGGGCCCCTTCTACTTGCCAAAACGAGATGATTTGAGTCCTTTGTGCCCTGTCCAGGGGTGGGAGCTGCATCCATTCCCTGCATTGCTGTGCTGGCTCTCCTGGGATYCCAGCAGCTTCTCCCTGGTGGGTTTTTCAAAAAAATGCCAGCAGTTTTCCCAAAAATGCCAGCAGCTTTCCCAAATCCAGCATTTGCTGACCTCAGGCAGTGACAGGAAAATCCTTCCTGCTGGAAATGTCCCCAAGCCTCGGAAAGACAGAGCTGAAGGCAAGGCTGTGATACAGCCAGGAGGGCAAACCCAGCTTGAAAAGTGGGTTAATGGAACAAAAAAAACAGAAATTAGCCAGGAAAAAAATAAAATTGGAGTTCAGAGAGCGCTGGACATTCATCCAAGAGGTTTTGGCCCATCCTGCATTTTCCAGGGAATGCTGCTGCTCGTATCCTTGGCACCGGACTCTGCTAGATCCTGCAGCATTTCCTTCCTTCCAGAGGGATCAGGTTGGGCCTGGAGGCAGCTCCAGCATCCCCCTAGGCTGGGCTTGGYTGRGCTGGGCTTRGCTGGGCTGGGCTTGGCTGAGCTGGACACATCCACAGCTCCCACGCAGCAGATCCATCCAGGGACACCCCCAACGCAACATCTTCACCCCTCGCCCCGTGCCCATCTCCTCTGCTTGATTAGAAACTCGTTAATTCCTCCCAATCACGCTTAATTAGGCTCATTCCTCCCCGTGCAGGCAGCTCTTTTCCCAAGGATTCGTGAAGGCAGCAATTTGTGCCAATTAAGAGCGGGGCTGTCTCGGATTCCTGCCGCATCCTGCCCGCGATCAAGCGAGCACTAAGAGGTGGCTTTCCAAAAAAAAACAACTTCTCCTGCTCACACCGAGCTCTTCCCTTTAATGTCCATTTTWCCACCTCCATCTGACTCCTTGTTCAGCTGCTCCTCGGTGAAGGTGATGTAGGAATACACCAGACTTCCCGCAATACTGCAAGAGAGGAGGGGAAATGGGGGTCAGACACACAGCCCTGCCCCGGGAAAAACCACAACCACAGGACAAGGAGCTGCTGGAGCCATCTATTCCCAGAAAAACTCCCAGTTTTCCTCCTAAACCCAGTTTTGTTGAATTCCTGCCTAAACACTTTCCATCCCAGTGCTGAACCCATTCCACCCCCAAAGGGATCCTGTGGAAGGACTGGGAATGAGCAGAGAGGATCCCACAACACARCCCAGAAAGGAGATTTTCCAAAAGCTGAATAATAAGGAACACCAGGTGAAATAATCCCCAAAAACATCTTTTGCKGCCTTAATTCCATGACTCTGGCTGMCAACTCAATTTTCCTGCTCWAATATTTCTATGGGTCCTCCTGGATTTAAAATAAATGTGGGAGAATCCCACAGCCTGAGCACAAACAAAAATTCCATGACTCTGGCTGACAASTCTGGGAAAACTCAATTTTCCTGCTAAAATATTCCAATGGCTTCTGACTYTAAAACAAATCTGGGAGCATCCCACAGCCTGAGCAGGGACTGAGCACAAATACCAATTCCATGCTTTTTGTTTGGGGGGAAAAAAAAAATCCATCAAATCAGTAAAATTATTTCAGTTTCATCCCAATTTTCACTTCCAAATCATAAATAAACCRCTGCTCTTACCTGATATTTAGACCAATGAAGTTCATCCATGTAAAAATATAATCTCCTCCAAAAAACATCCCAATATAGGTTATTAAAATATTCTGCAAAGGAACAAGATGGGAGGAACAAACAGCCTGAGACGAGGGAATGTA